AAAGATAGGAAACAGTTTGTACAAATAAATGGTGTAAGATCTGACCTGTGCAATATCACTTGTGGAGTTCCTCAAGGCTCTGTACTTGGACCAAAGTTATTTATTTTATATGTGAATGACTTAGTGAATGTATCAGGACTCCTCAAATGTGTCCTTTTTGCAGATGACACCACATTTTTTTGTTTGGGTAAAGATGTAAAACGGATGTTGGAATTGATGAAGACAGAATTTGATAAAATACAAACTTGGTTTAAACTTAATAAATTATCATTAAATTTAGATAAAACTAAATACATGATATTTAGTAACAAAAAGAGAACTGTTGATGATCCATTTAAAATTGAGGGTGTTGAGATTTGTAGAGTTAATGAGATGAAATTTTTGGGTGTAATCATTGATGAACAGCTAACATGGAAAAATCACATCAATTCTGTAAGAACAAAAATATCTAAATGTATTGCAGTACTATACAAAGTCAGGGAATTATTAAATGATAAAGCTCTGTACATGTTGTATAACACAATCATTGTTCCACATTTAATCTATTGCATTGATGTTTGGGGGAAAGCATGTAAAACATTTACAAAACCTATTTTTATTTGACAGAAAAGAGCTGTAAGAATTATCACCAGAAAGCATTACTGTCACCCATCAAGCACATTATTTTATCAACTGAACTTATTGAAGTTCCATGATTTGGTAGATTACAGTATTTTATCAGTTATGTATAGGGCTCAAAATAACACATTACCATTAAATATCCAAAGAAATGTTGTTAAAAGACGAAGTTGTTATAATCTTAAGGGGATAGAAATATTTGTCAAACCAACATTCAGAACTAGTCTGAAGGGAAGGTCTACCTCAATCCAAGGAGTTGGATTGTGGAATGTTCTAGAGAGTGATGTGAAAAATGTCAAGTCAATGTGTACATTTAAGAAAAAGATCAAAACTGAATTGTTAAAAAAGTATATATGAAGTAGATTAGTGTGTGTTTTGTATTAGAATTAGAAAAATTAGAAAGTTATTCATTTTGTTCTGTTACTTGAAGATTATTATGATTGAAATAATTGTTTGAAAAAAGGGGCAGATATAATAAGATTTTTTCTTCTTTCTGCTGCCTTTCATTTGAAATCTTTTGTATCTTTTTTATATTGTTATGGAATTGTTTTGTACTTTTTTAAAATGAATAAACTTTATACCATACCATACTTTTGTTGGGACTTGGCGCTATATAAGTAAACTGAATAGAATCATTAATGAAAACCATTTATTTTACAAAGAGGGTGTTTTTGAAACCTAATGTGTAGAAAATCCAAATGTAGTGAGCTTGTGAGCAGCATAAGATAATTTTATCGTCGGCCTAGTTTGAAGTCATTTCCCTCAGAGACAAGTGACCCAGCTCATATTTCTGTAGCCTTTTCCTCCTCTGACAAAATTACTGCAGCAGCTCTGCACTTCAGCTGAATTAGTAGCACCCGATAAAACATGGAGCTGAATATATGTGAGGATGATAACAAAGCCTTAATGTTTCTGTTTTAAATGCCAAAGTTTGCCCTTCTTGCATTGTTAGTGCATAACTTTACCTGAGGAGCAGCGATGGAGAGTGCAGCGTTGGCCATTTCCTTGTCCTGTGATTTGTCTCGTGCCAGACGTGCAGCATCCTTAATCTCCTTGAACTTTTCTGAAAACTACATAAACAAAGAAATAAATAAAAGCCTGGCATTTCTTGAATGCACATTGCCAACCTCATGTCATTCCACAGTTCTGAAGATGGTGTTACGTTGACACGACTTGTAGCCACCTGTCAAACATTCTTCACAATCTCATGTTTTGCCAAAATGTGTTTTATGAATAACCCTCTGCTATAACCATACAATATCCATAAATTGTCTGAATTCAAGACGTTTTTGTTTCTAACGTCAGCTGGCAGCTAGCCTGGTTTGGGGTGGCTTCCAAAATTAATCAGTGGTAGATGAATGTTCAGTGGTTACTTCCTGAAAGTTGGTAGATGAAAAGTGGATGCAACACTCCATCTAGTAATGATATGTGTATGAAGTTTCATTAAATTATATGAAGTGTATCAAAAGTTATGGCCCAGACAAGAGTTTATGGATGGAGACTACACCAGGATACATCCCACCTTTTGACAGGCATCCCAAAAATTGTCTTTTTTGATTAACCTTTATTTAAACAGGCAAATCCCATTGAGATCACAGATCTCTTTAGCAAGAGAGGCCTGGACCTGAAGGCAGCCTAACATGCATGTTTTTGGTCTGTGGAAGGAAACACACGCAAGCATGAGAAGAACATTCAAACTCCACACAGAAAGACCCCAGGTCCAACCGGGGATTGAACCCAGGACCTTCTTGCTGTGAGGCAACAGTGCTAACCACTGAGCTGTCGTGCTTTTTATATAGTGTATGTGAATATCTGATTTCAACTTGATACAAAACTGACAGGCAGCACGGTGGCACAACTGGTAGAGCTGCTGCCTCTCAGTGAGCAGGTCCCTGGTTCAAACCCCGGTCCAGGGGCCTTTCTGGGTGGAGTTTGCATGTTCTCTCCGTGCATGCGTGGGTTTTCTCCGGGTACTCCAGTTTCCTCCCACAGTCCAAAAACATGCATGTTAGGCTGATGGTGACTCTAAATTGTCCCTAGGTGTGAGTGAGAGACTGAATGTTTGTTTGTCTCGTTTGTCTCTATGTGTCCCTGTGATGGACTTGTGACCCGTCCAGGGTGTACCCCGCCCCTCGCACAGTGATTGCTGGACATGGGCACCAGCGACCCCCGTGACCCAAAATGGAATAAGCGGGTAAAGATAATGGATGGATGGATGGACAAAACTGACAGAGTTGAAGCTATTTTTGTTTATTTTTAAATTGGTAGGCTCTGGCAGCTATTTTGAACCAGTTTGACTTCAAAAGGTAATTGCAGATCTACATTAAGAGATTACTGAGATTACTTTCTATAATTTCATTATACAATCCTCTGGTTCATGAGATATTTTGCATATAGATATAAATATACACGGGTGATAAAAAAATCCCCAAAAGTTACAATGTCTCAAAAAGTTACAGCTCGTTTTTAGGTAAATGAGAATATTGCAGTGTTTTACCTGGTTTAGCTGTTGCTCAGTGGAAAAACCCAGTCCGTAGATGGTGGTGGCCCTGCTGTCAGCCCATTGACCAAACTTCTGGGATGTCTTGGTGAACGTCATGCTGGGTGTAATGGTGCAGTTGATGATGGCCTGTGGACGCAGAGAGGACAATGGAGGTCACACACAAATCAAAGTAAACATAATTACTGTTGTGTAGTTTAGTGCAGACAGGCTCCACACTTTCTCAACTCTAGTCCTGTTGACATGTTTTTATGAATCTGTCAGAAGCAGCTGTGGCTGAGTGGTTAGAGCAGTCATCCTCCATTGCAAGAGCTGGAGGTTCGAATTCACCAGCAGTCACATGTCGAAGTGTCCCTGGGCAAGACACTGAACCCCTCATAGCCTCTGATGTGTGTCCCATCAGTGTATGAATGTGATAAAGCTCTGATTATTCTTAGTAAAGATACAAACCAGATTCCAAAAAGGTTGGGACACTAAACAAATTGTGAATAAAAACTGAATGCAATGATGTGGAGATGGCAAATGTCAATATTTTATTCGTAAAATAACAGAAGACAGATCAAACGTTTAATCTGAGTAAATGTAACATTTTAAAGGAAAAATATGTTGATTCAAAATTGCACAGTGTCATCAAATCCCAAAAAAGTTGGGACAAGTAGCAATAAGTGGCTGGAAAAAGGAAATTGAGCATATAACGAACAGCTGGAAGACCAATTAACACTAATTAGGTCAATTGACAACATGATTGGGTATAAAAAGAGCTTCTCAGAGTGTCAGTGTCTCTCAGAAGCCAAGACAGTAAGAGGATCACCAATTCCACCATTGTTGCGCAGAAAGATAGTGCAGCAATACCAGAATGGTGTTACCCAGCGTAAAATATCAAAGACTTTTAAGTTATCATCATCAACCGTGCATAACATCATCAAAAGGTTCAGAGAATCTGGAACAATCGCTGTGCGTAAGGGTCAAGGCCGTAAAACTCTACTGGATGCTCGTGATCTCCGGTCCCTTAAACGTCACTGCACCTCAAACAGGAATGCCACTGTCAAGGAAATAACAGAATGGGCTCAGGAATACTTCCAGAAAGCATTGTCAGTGAACACAATCCACCGTGCCATCTGCCATTGCCAGCTGAAACTCTACAGTGCAAAGAGGAAGCCATTTCTCAGCAAGCTCCACAAGCTCAGACGTTTGCACTGGGCCAGGGGTCATTTAAAATGGAGTGTGGCAAAATGGAAGACTGTTCTGTGGTCAGATGAGTCACGATTTGAAGTTCTTTATGGAACACTGGGACGCCATGTCATCCGGACCAGAGAGGACAAGGATAGCCCAAGTTGTTATCAACGCTCCGTTCAGAAGCCTGCATCACTGATGGTATGGGGTTTCATGAGCGCTTGTGGCATGGGCAGCTTGCATGTCTGGAAAGGCACCATTAATGCAGAGAACTATGTTCAGGTTCTAGAACAACATATGCTCCCATCTAGACGTCATCTCTTTCAGGGAAGACCCTGCATTTTTCAACACGATAATGCCAGACCACATTCTGCAGCAATCACAACATCATGGCTACGTAGGAGAAGGATCCGGGTACTGAAATGGCCAGCCTGCAGTCCAGTTCTTTCACCTATAAAGAACATTTGGCGCATCATAAAGAGGAAGGTGCCACAAAGAAGGCCCAAGACGATTGAACAGTTAGAGGCCTGTATTAGACATGAATGGGAGAGCATTCCTATTTCTAAACTGGAGAAACTGGTCTCCTCTGTCCCCAGATGTCTGTTGAGTGTTGTAAGAAGAAGGGGGGATGCCACACAGTGGTAAAAATGGACTTGGCCCAACTTTTTTGGGATTTGTTGACGCCATGAAATTTGGAAACAACAGATTTTTCCCTTAAAATTATACATTCTCTCAGTTTAAACTTTTGATCTGTGATTTGTGTTCTATTCTGAATAAAATATTAGATGTTGGCACCTCCACATCATTGCATTCAGTTTTTATTCACAATTTGTTTAGTGTCCCAACTTTTTTGGAATCCGGTTTGTATATTAGAGTGCTGTCTGAATGGATAAATGAGGTGCAGATTGTTGTAAAGAGCTTTGAGTATGCTGATAAGATAAAAAATGTGCTATATAAGTGCAGTCCATTTACATCTGATTCAGTTATTGGCACTGTCGTGGAAAAAGGGGATTTCAAAAACAACCAGGTGTAGACTTTGCCATTTTTTTAAATAAAAAAATTGTCATATATATTTATTTATTAAACTGACAACCTCAGCTGGAGCAACAACACCACCAGCCTGATCAAGAAAGCTCATCAGAGACTCTACTTCCTCAGGCGGCTGAGTTGAGCTGGTCTGGGAAGCTCAGTCCTCACCTCCTTCTACAGGTGTGCAGTGGAGAGCATCCTGTGCTCCAGCATCAACATGTGGCATGGAGGCTGCACAGCTGCAGAAAGAAAAGCTTTGCAGAGAGTGGTGAAGGCTGCACAGAAATCTGTTGGAATCTGTCTCCCCACCATCACAGACATCTACACCTCCAGATGCAGGAAGAGGGCCACCTGCATCATGAAGGACCCCACTCATCCAGCACACACACTTTATACCCCACTCCCCTCAGGAAGGAGGTTAAGGAGCATTTAGTTTAGAACCACTAGACTGAGGAACAGCTTCTACCCTGAGGCTGTTAGACTCATGAATCTCTAACCAGAATAATCACTGTGAAAAATCACATGTTGCCGCTGATCTGCTTCATGTTGCTGCTGATCTGCTTCATGTTGCTGCTGATCTGTTTCAT